TGGTTTACATAGCATTAGGTCTAACTAGTACACCTTTCCAAGTATGCTTTTCTCTAAGGTCTTCTCAATACTTGTATAGATGCAGCATATTTACATAATGTAAAATGTAAAGCATTGAATGTCCCCCCTGGGGAATTTATTCTTGTGTTTTTACAAGAAAAAGGATTCTACTTTCCCCCTCCTCACTACTGCATCTTGACTAGGTTCTTAAAAATATATATATTATACTACACACGACACACAGTTATATATACTATAAGAACTATGATATATATATATAAAAGAATAATAAAAAAAAATTCTGGAGGGTGAAAGTTACCTAAAGGAGAAAATGCAAATTCACACATTTGTACAAGCACTTATCCATGCTTGAAAAGAATCTTTACACTAAAATGTTGGTGAAACATAAACGAAACCGATAGTGCTTTACACTTAAGATTTGTCCATTCTCTCTTATAGCAAAGTGTATCAACTTGTTTAACAGTCCCATAGGGTACATAATCAAATAAGTAAGAAATAAATAAATAAAATTCCTCATTAGTATAGAAGTTGAGTAAAAAAAAATAAAATAAAAACAAAAAAAGGAAACCAACTGCAGATCAGTTAGTAAAAGTCTGCTTTTATTTACATAAAAAAAAAAGTGCGGCCGGAGTGTGGCTCACGCCTGTAATCTACACTTTGGGAGGCCGAGCGGCGGATTGCTCAAGGTCAGGAGTTCGAAACCAGCCTGAGCAAGACCCCGTCTCTACCAAAATAGAAATAAAATTAATTGACAAACTAAATATATATACAAAAATTAGCCGAGCATGGTGGCGCATGCCTGTAGTCCCAGCTACTCGGGAGGCTGAGGCAGGGAGGATCGCTGAGCCCCGGAGATTGAGTGCTGGTGAGCCAGGCTGACGCCACGGCACTCACTCTAGCTGGGCAACAAAAGTGAGACTCTGTCCAAAAAAAAAAAAAAAAAAAAGTGCATAGGCTGGGCGAGGTGCCTCACGCCTGTAATCCTAGCACTCTGGAGGCGAGGAGGTTGGATAGCTCGAGGTCCGAGTTCAAAACCAGCCTGAGCAAGAGGGGCCCCGTCTCTACTTAAATAGAAAGAAATTAATTGGCCAACTAATATATATAGAAAAAAATTAGCGGGCATGGTGGCACATGCCTGTAGTCCCAGCTTCTCGGAGGCTGAGGCAGCAGGATCACTTGAGCCCAGGAGATTAAGGTTGCTGTGAGCTAGGCTGACGCCATGGTACTCACTCTAGACTGAGAACAAAGTGGGACTCTGTCCAAAAAAAAAAAAAAAAATGGCATGATCCTAGCACTCTGGGCAGCTGAGGCGGGAGGATCACTCTAGGTCAGGATTCGAGACCAGCCTGAGCAAGAGCGGAGACCCGTCCTACTAAAAAAATAGAAAGAAATTAGCTGGACAACTAAAAATATATAGAAAAAATTAGCGGGCATGGTGGCGCATGCCTGTAGCCCGTCTACTTAGCTATCCAACCTCCTCGGCCTCCCAGAGTGCTAGGATTACAGGCGTGAGGCACCTCGCCCAGCCTATGCACTTTTTTTTATGTAAATAAAAGCAGACTTTACTTACTGATCTGCAGTTGGTTTCCTTTTTTGTTTTTATTTTATTTTTTTACTCACTTCTATACTAATGAGGAATTTTATTTATTTATTTACTTACTTAATTATATACCTGGGACTTTAAAAAGTTGATACAACTTTGCTATAGAAGAATGGACAAATCTTAAGTGTAAAGCACTATGGTTTCGTTTATTTTCACCAACATTTTAGTGTAAAGATTTTCAAGCATGGATAAGTGCTGTACATGTGTGATTTTGCATTTTCCTTTAGGTAACTTTCACCTCAGAATTTTTTTTTCTTTTCTTTTATATATATATATTTTATATATATATATATGTGTATATATATATATATATATTTTTAAGACTAGTCAAGTGCAGTAGTGAGGAGGGGGGAAAGTAGAATTTTTTTTTAAAAAAAGAGATAAATTCCAGGGGGAACATTCAATGTTTACATTATTACAATTATGTAAATACTGCTGTCATCTACAAGTATTGGAAAGACTTAGAGAAAAGCATACTTGGAAAGGTGTACTAGTTAACCTAATGCTATGTAACATGTTGCCCCCAAACTGAGTAGCTTAGGACAGAAACAATCATCTTTCATGGTCTCTCTTGGTTAGGAATCCGAAAGCAGCTTGGCCGTGAAGTTCTGGCCCATTGGGCTACAGGCAGCTGTTGGCTCAGGCTGGCATCATCTGAAGGCTTCGCCAAAGCTGGAGAATCCACTTTTAAGGTGGTTCATTCACGCTGCAGTCTAGTGGCTGGGAACCCCTCCACAGGGCTGCTTGAGCACCCTTACAACATGGCAGCTGCTTCACCAGCGTGAGAGACCCAGGTGAAGCCACAATTCCCAGCACGACCTAGCTTCTATAACCAATATTGTCACTTTCGCGGTCTGCTAAGGGTCACACAGGCCAGCCCTCATTCACCGTGGGGGGAGAGGATACAGCAGGAGGTGGGAATAACTGGGAGCCGTCTTGGAGGCTGGCTGCTCCTGAGTCTAGCTTTGACCATGTTGCGTTTGGAATGTCTCAGTCAACCACAAGTGATGTCAGCTGTTGCGTATACAGTTTTGCGTTCAGAAGAGAGGTCTGAGCTGACAATACAATGGGGCAGTTATTAAATATCTGTTATATATGTTGAAAATATTTTTCTCCCAGTTTGTCATTTTGTTCTGAACTGTGTTTATTAGTGGTTTTAATCATACAGAAAAATGTTTTTCCTTTGTGGTCAATTATTTCAGTT